GAAAAAACGACAATTGAAAAACAGAAAAATTGAGAAACCGAAATAGGCCAAAATAAAAAATTGAAAAACTGATAAATCGAAAACCTGATCAATCAAATCTCGATAGATCGGGAATGAAAAATAGACAAATCGAAAAATTGAAAAATCGAAAAAGTGAATTCAAAAACCTGAAAAATAAAAAAATTAAAGAATTGAAGAACAGGAAAATCAAAACACTCGAAGGTCAAGAAATGGGAAAATCAAAACATCGATTAATTGAAAAATCGAAAAATTGAGAGTTTATAAAAGTTAAATTTGAAAAATTAAAAAATCGAAAATTTGACAAAATCACAATTGAAAAACAGAAAATCTAAAACCGGGAAGTCGAAAAATCAAAAGATTAAGAAATCGAAACATTTAAAAAATTCGAAAACTTGAAAAATTAAAATATCGAAGAACTGAAATGAAAAATCGAGAAATCGAAAAATCGAAAATTTTAAAAGTTAAAAAATCTAAAATTGAAAAATCGAAAAAGTGAAAAAATTGACACATCGAAAAATTCAGGAGTCAAAAATCGAAAAGTCGAAGAATCGAAAATTGAAAAATCCCAAAACTGAAATATTGAAAAACTGAAAAATGAATGAAAAACTGAAAAATGGAAAACCTGAAAAATCCGAAAACTGAAATATCCAAAAACTGAGAACCTAAAATGTCGAAAAATTGAGCAAACGAAAAATCCAAAAATTGAAGTCGAAAAATCGAAACCTTAAAAAAACTAAAAAATGAAAAATCAAAATCCTGAAAAATCGAAAAATTAAAGAATTGAAGAACAGGAATATCGAAACCCTCGAAAGTCAAGAAATGGGAAAATTAAAACATCGATTAATTGAAAAATGGTAAAATTGAAAGATCGAAAATTTGAAAAAACGACAATTGAAAAACAGAAAATCTAAAATCGGGAAGTCGAAAAATCGATTGATTAAGAAATCAAAACATTTGAAAAATTCGAAAACTTGAAAAACTGAAATATGGAAGAACTGAAATGAAAAATCGAGAAATCGAAAAATCTAAAATTTTAAATATTGAAAAATTAAAATATCAAAAAAATGAAAAATCTGAAATTTAAAAATCGAAAAATTGAAAAAACGACGATTGAAAAACAGAATATCTACAACCGGGAAGTCGAAATATCGAAGGATTAAGAAATCGAAACATTTGAAAAATTGAAATATGAAAGAGCTGAAATGAAATATCGAGAAATTGAAAAATCTAAAATTTTAAATATTGAAAAATTAAAATACCAAAAAATTGAGAAATCTACGACACATCGAAAAATCCAGAAGTCAAAAATGGAAAAGTCAAAGAACAGAAATATTAAAAAATCCCAATACTGAAATATCGAAAAACTGAAAAATGAAAGAAAAACTGAAAAATCCCAAAACTGAAATATCCAAAAACTGAGAATCTAAAGAATCGAGAAATTGAAAAACCAAAAAATCAAAAAAGTGAAGTCGAAATATCGAAACCTTAAAAAAATCGAAAAATTGAAAAATCAAAAACCTGTAAAATCGTAAGATCGAAAAATTGAATAACAAGTAAACTGAAAAATCCCAAAACTGGAATGTCGAAAAACTGAGAAATCGAAAAATAAAAAAATTGGTCTAAAGAGTTTAGACAGTACTTCCCTCGCTGTCGGAAACTTGACGACTGCATGCCTATTGTGTTTTTTTTCTCATTACATTTTTGTAGTGGGAATTTAAAAAAAAAATGCGATGACGTCATCAACATTTTTGCAAGGACACGTATATCAGTTGGGATAGATGTAGTGTAAAATTATTATATTCTCAAATTTTCGGGAAAATGAATTGGGTCGTTTTGAATATTGATTTGTAATAATCAATAAAATAACGAAACAATTTACTCACGTATACGTATCAGAGGCAACTGAAAATCGTGTATGTATAAACATTCTTAATTTAAGATGACAGGCGTAACAGCATACGTGAGAGTCAAACAGAGAAACTGTAAACAAAACGACCATCGGTTTTATTGCTTCGACTTCCGCTTATTATATAAAACATTGGGTTTTATTTTAATTCTTGACGGTGAAATTCACAATTGGTTGATTATAAACATGTCTATTTCACATTCGCGGAACCAAGTGAGCGCATAAAACAAATGCAGGTCTGTAATGTTAAAGTCGATGTAAATAAGCGTGCTACCCTTATGTTTCAACCGAGTTTTTCCTTTAACAAATTTTGTGTCTACCAAATTGGGTTGGTTGGGGTGTAATACTAATAATAAGTGTTGCCTTTAATTTAATCAATAAAATAAATTGACTTCATTAATTTTTTTGAACCACCTCTTAAGAAAATCTAAAAAATATGAATGGAATGATAAATCACAAGTACAAACTCATCATATTTTTTGCATTTTAGATAGGATTTATTCAGCAAAATTTAAGGGTGACGTCATCAATTTTTTTAGGAGGATGAACAAATACATATTGAACAAAAGTTTACCATGCTTATAATAACTTTAAAATATTCCCAAGATTTCAAAGCATTCGGTTTTCTAATTCCTGATTAAATCGATAAAATAAATTCACGCCTTCATTAATTTTTTTGAGTCACCCTGCATATGCAAATCCAAAAATATGATTGGAATGATAAATCACAAGTACAGACTCATCATATTTTGTGCATTTTAGATACGATTTATTCGGCAAACTTTTGAGCTGACGTCATCAGTTTTTTGTAGAAGATAACCAAATATATTTTGACTAAAAATTTATTATGCTCTTTATAACCTTAAAACATCTGCAAGATTTCAAAGCATTCGGTTTTGTAGTTCCTGATTAAATCAATAAAATAAATTTACGCATTCATTAATTTTTTTGAGTCACCCTGTATATGCAAATCGAAAAAATTTGAATGGAATGATAAATCACAAGAAGAGACTCACCATATTTTGTACATTTTAGATAGGATTTATTCAGCAAAATTTTGTGGTGACGTCATAAATTTTTTAGGGGGGACGACCAAATACATTTTGATCAAAAATTTACTATGCTTATGATAATTTTAAAATATCTTCAAGATTTCGAAGCATTCGGTTTTGTAGTTCCTGAGTAAATCAGTAAAATAAATTTACGCTTTCATTTATTTTCTTGAATCACCCTGTATATGCAAATCCAAAAAATATGAATGGAGTGATAGATCACAAGTACAGACTGATCATATTTTGTACATTTTAGATATGATTTATTCGGCAAATTTTCGAGCTGACGTCATCAAGTTTTTGGAGGGGATAAGCAAATATATTTTGACTAAACATTTATTATGCTCTTTATAACCTTAAAACATCTGCAAGATGTCAGAGCATTCCGTTTTGTAGTTCCTGATTAAATCAATAAAATATATGTATTTACGCATTCATTAATTTTTTTGAGTCACTCTGTATATGCAAACCAAAAAATATGAATGGAGTGATAAATGACAAGTACAGACTCATCATATTTTGTACATTTTAGATATGATTTATTCGGCAAACTTTCGAGCTGACGTCATCAAGTTTTTGGAGGGGATAAGCAAATATATTTTGACTAAACATTTATTATGCTCTTTATGACCTTAAAACATCTGCAAGATTTCAGAGCATTCAGTTTTGTAGTTCCTGATTAAATCAATAAAATATATTTACGCATTCATTAATTTTTTTGAGTCACCCTGTATATGCAAATCCAAAAAATATGAATGGAGTGATAGATCACAAGTACAGACTCATCATATTTTGTACATTTTAGATATGATTTATTCCACAAACTTTTGAGCTGACGTCATCAAGTTTTTGGAGGGGATAAGCAAATATTTTTTGACTAAAGATTTATGATGCTCTTTATAGCCTTAAAACATCTGCAACATTTCAAAGCATTCTGGTTAGCAGATTAAAAATAAATTTCAAAATGTTGTTTTATAATTTTGATTTTTTTTCCAAAAATCTGGACGTTTCGGGTGAAAAGTCGATTCAGAGTTGTAAACTACATGTGTAGGACTATGTTATTTTATACAATTGAAAACCCATTTACTATGTACAATTTTGAAGTGACGTCATCGCATTAGTGGTGGGGATGATTAGACAAATTTTGGTTAGCGTTTTACCATCTACATGATATTCTTAATATAAGTACAAAATTTCACAACAATCGGTCGAGTACTTTCGGAGATTATCTGTCTAATAAAAATCCGGGACAACAGACGGACAGACGGACAGACGGACGGACGGACAGACGGACGGACAGACGGACGGACAGACGGACAGACGGACGGACAGACGGACAGACAGACGGAAATGGGAGACCTATTTCTTCGTCTTCTAGGGGTCATGAAAGATCGAGAAAACGTAAAAGTAGAGAGTCGGCCGACGGACTCGATTACAATACTTCCTTTGCTTACGCTCGGGAAGTAAAAAATTAAGTTAAAAAATCGAAACCTGAAAAAATAGAAAAATAGAAAAACCAAAAAACCTGAAAAATCAATTATTTGAAAAATCGACAAATAAAGAGTTTATAAAAATCAAAAATTGAAAAATCGAAATATTTAAAATCCAAAAATTGAATAATAAATAGGAGTAAACTGAAAAGTCCCCAAACTAAAATTTCGAAAAACTGAGAATTCGAAAGTTGAAACAGCAGAATTCAGAAATTATGGTCGAAACCGGTTAGGATGTGTATTAGATCACGGATCGTGGCTTATAAATCAAATCGTTTCCGAACGCTTAGAGTCGACATTGGCCTGAGTGCGCTCTGGTCTGTAGATCAAACAAGTTCTCAGACGACGAACTGTAATTCGTGTGACCTGAATTAAAGTGAAGGAAACAGTAAGCAGCTTGTAATATTCTGGTAAATCTAGTGTCAATTTGTGGAAAGTAAACCGCGTCGTTAAAAATATTATGAAATTTTTTATATTGTAGTTAATTTTATTCCTAGTTAGAAACAAACACTATTGCCAACATAAGTCGAGGAGTCCTCAACCGTCATTTAATTTAAACTATGACGCTTCTCTATGTTCTCTGATATTGAGGTGGCACAAATCCCGAACTCGAACCCAAAGTCATTTAATAGATCTCTATTAACTAACCTTGCTCGAACCCGACTACCCGAATCAAAGCAAACAAACATGGAAGCATTGGAGGGAGAAATGGGACATCCAGCTTAAATGTTTTTGGTTATGTGTTAAAATTTGGACAACGGTGGTTGCTTCTCATTTTTTTTTCATTTCATTACTAAATGAAGGACAAAGGCAATATGTAAGTAATGTTAAAAAATATTCCTTTATTTCCTGTTAATTTCACACTAGTAAACAAGTCCTGTTGAATCCTTGACCAACATTTACGGCGTTGTCGCGTTGCGTTGCCGACAAAATTACCACAGTCAGATTATTTTCAGGAATGCATTAAGAGAACAAGAAATGCCTCAATGTCATGTACTTGTAAGAAAATTAACTTTGGAGGAGATAAGTCGAATGATCATAAACCCTTTTTTTATAAGCAACAGGTGTGGCCGATGCTACAAGTTTGCACATTACGGACCAAAGTGCACCACATGTTCAGTATCCTATCATTACGAGTGTGCTGTCCAGCGTGGAATGTGCTGTGAGCTTCCTATACTCCTGCAACCAAAAAATATTAGCAACTTAAAATGTTTAAAGTGTAACGAAAATGTACATTTTGGTCCATATTGTACAGTGTGTTGTTCCAAATTCCACAATTATTGTTTAACCCCTTATGAACAATGCTGTCAGCTCAATCTCTGTCGGTTGCCTTCACAACATCAGTGTCACAAATGTGAGAAGATAGTTGTTTTCGGTCCAAAATGTCCAACATGTGCAAGTGTTTATCATCCAGAGTGCGTTTCAGAAGGATTTGATTGTTGCAACAATAGAATAAGTTATAATGATTCGGGAAAATATCAGTGTGCAAAGTGTCGTAGAAATGCTGCCCTGGGAGTTATTATGTGTCAGTACTGTGGGCACATTTATCACAACTCCTGTTTGAACGGTGTTAAAAAAAAATGTTGTAAGCGTATACCGTTAGAATTATTTTTTATACCTTCTTTCAAATATGTCATAAACTATTTTAACCAGTTTAACAAGCGCAGAGAACGGATGAGGAAATTTGAAGAAATGGTTGTTAATCATACACACTCTCTTCGTAGTATGATTAAACACATACATAAAGAAGACAGGTTTTTACTAGTTTTTGAACCAAACATTTTAACCAAATCCTTATTTGCAGGACGAAGAAAAAAACCGCCGCCTGCCAGACTAATGCGTTAGACAGTATTGAAATTGTGAGTGTCAAAACTGAAACTGAGGTAGAAGTATCAGAATCAGAATCAGAATTAGAATTGGATATTCCTTCTTCACAAGTTCTGCAAAGGCAAATGATTAAGTTTCTAGAACCAATACCTGTGGTGGGAACTTCACAGATACCTGACTCAAATACAGATGGTGATGATACTCTTAAACATTTCTTTGACTTGTTGTATAATATGGTGAAGAAATTCCCGCCACAGTTACAAACTCAGGTTAAAATTGATCTTTTTAAAACCGTTACAGAGGCTGAGCTGAAGTTGCAGTGTAACATGCTTGATGTAACTTTAAATTCTAATGGTAATTAACGTTCAAAGTATTAGTGTAGTGTGTTTTCATTTTTTGTTCATATGAGGTTAAAATGTATGCCTACGTATGTTATGTTAAAACGCATGAACTGCATGTAATATGCGCTTTTTTATAATAAAAAAACCTTGTTCAAAATATTCTTTCATATCTTTTATTATTTATAAAATGGTAGTTATTTACTACTAGAAATAAATAATGACGTTTATGGTCAGTATTTTATTAAAATTACATTACATACTTAAGATAGGTGTTGGTAAAAATTAAAAATATTGTAGGCAGAAAAAGGTTTCCTTGAAACAATCACAGATTGTTGTAGAAAAGATTGAAATGGCTTAGGTACATACTACATTTGGAACAGTTACAGTAGAGTTTGAATAACCAGCGTGAAAAAATTGGTCTAAAGAGTTTAGACAGTACTTCCCTCGCTGTCGGAAACTTGACGACTGCATGCCTATTGTGATGATAATGGAATGATAAATCACAAGTACAGACTCATCATATTTTGTACATTTTAGATACGATTTATTCGGCAAACTTTTGAGCTGACGTCATCAGTTTTTTGTAGAAGATAACCAAATATATTTTGACTAAAAATTTATTATGCTCTTTATAATCTTAAAACATCTGCAAGATTTCAAAGCATTCGGTTTTGTAGTTCCTGATTAAATCAATAAAATAAATTTACGCATTCATTAATTTTTTTGAGTCACCCTGTATATGCAAATCGAAAAAATTTGAATGGAATAATAAATCACAAGAAGAGACTCACCATATTTTGTACATTTTAGATAGGATTTATTCAGCAAAATTTTGTGGTGACATAAATTTTTTAGGGGGGACGACCAAATACGTTTTGATCAAAAATTTACCATGCTTATGATAATTTTAAAATATCTTCAAGATTTCGAAGCATTCGGTTTTGTAGTTCCTGATTAAATCAATAAAATATATTTACGCATTCATTAATTTTTTTGAGTCACTCTGTATATGCAAATCCAAAAAATATGAATGGAGTGATAAATGACAAGTACAGGCTCATCATATTTTGTACATTTTAGATATGATTTATTCGGCAAACTTTCGAGCTGACGTCATCAAGTTTTTGGAGGGGATAAGCAAATATATTTTGACTAAACATTTATTATGCTCTTTATGACCTTAAAACATCTGCAAGATTTCAGAGCATTCGGTTTTGTAGTTCCTGATTAAATCAATAAAATATATTTACGCATTCATTAATTTTTTTGAGTCACCCTGTATATGCAAATCCAAAAAATATGAATGGAGTGATAGATCACAAGTACAGACTCATCATATTTTGTACATTTTAGATATGATTTATTCCACAAACTTTTGAGCTGACGTCATCAAGTTTTTGGAGGGGATAAGCAAATATTTTTTGACTAAAGATTTATGATGCTCTTTATAGCCTTAAAACATCTGCAACATTTCAAAGCATTCTGGTTAGCAGATTAAAAATTAAATTTCAAAATGTTGTTTTATAATTTTGATTTTTTTTTCCAAAAATCTGGACGTTTCAGGTGAAAAGTCGATTCAGAGTTGTAAACTACCTGTGTAGGACTATGTTATTTTATACAATTGAAAACCCATTTACTATGTACAATTTTGAAGTGACGTCATCGCATTAGTGGTGGGGATGATTAGACAAATTTTGGTTAGCGTTTTACCATCTACATGATATTCTTAATATAAGTACAAAATTTCACAACAATCGGTCGAGTACTTTCGGGGATTATCTGTCTAATAAAAATCCGGGACGGCAGACGGACAGACGGACAGACAGACGGAAATGGGAGACCTATTTCTTCGTCTTCTAGGGGTCATGAAAGATCGAGAAAACGTAAAAGTAGAGAGTCGGCCGACGGACTCGATTACAATACTTCCTTTGCTTACGCTCGGGAAGTAAAAAATTGGTCTAAAGAGTTTAGACAGTACTTCCCTCGCTGTCGGAAACTTGACGACTGCATGCCTATTGTGTTTTTTTCTCATTACATTTTTGTAGTGGGAATTTAAAAAAAATTGCGATGACGTCATCAACATTTTTGCAAGGACACGTATATCAGTTGGGATAGATGTAGTGTAATACTAAGAATAAAATTATTGTATTCCCAAATTTTCGGGAAAATGAATTGGGTCGTTTTGAATATTGATTTTTTATAATCAATAAAATAACGAAACAATTTACTCACGTATACGGCAACTGAAAATCGTTTATGTATAAACATTCTTAATTTAAGATGACAAGCGTAACAGCATACGTGCATGAGAGTCAAACAGAGAAACTGTAAACAAAACGACCATCGGTTTTATTGCTTCGACTTCCGCTTAATATATAAAGCATTGGGTTTTATTTTAATTCTTGACGATGAAATTCACAATTGGTTGATTATAAACATGTCTATTTCACATTCGCGGAACCAAGTGAACGAATAAAACAAATGCAGGTCTGTAATGTTAAAGTCGATGTAAATAAGCGTGCTACCCTTATGTTTCAACCGAGTTTTTCCTTTAACAAATTTTGTGTCTACCAAATTGGGTTGGTTGGGGTGTAATACTAATAATAAGTGTTGCCTTTAATTTAATCAATAAAATAAATTGACTTCATTAATTTTTTTGAACCACCTCTTAAGAAAATCTAAAAAATTGGTCTAAAGAGTTTAGACAGTTCTTCTCTCGCTGTCGGAAACGTGACGACTGCATGCCTATTATGTTTTTTTTTTCGCAGTGGATTTCAAAGAATTCGGTTTTGTGGTTCCTGAGTAAATCAATAAAATAAATTTACGCATTCATTAATTTTTTTGAGTCACCCTGTATATGCAAATCCAAAAAAAAATCAATGGAGTGATAAATCACAAGTACAGACTCATCATATTTTGTACAGTTTAGATAGGATTTATTCGGCAAACTTTCGAGCTGACGTCATCAATTTTTTGGAGGGGATAAGCAAATGTATTTTGACTAAACATTTATTATGCTCTTTATAACCTTAAAACATCTGCAAGATTTCAAAGCATTCGGTTTTGCAGTTCATGATTAAATCAAAAAAATAAATTTACGCATTCATTAAATTTTTTGACATCCTGTATATGCAAATCCAAAAAATATGAATGGAGTGATAAATTACAAGTACAGACTCATCATATTTTGTACAGTTTAGATAGGATTTATTCAGCAAACTTTTGAGCTGACGTCATCAATTTTTTGGACGGGATAAGCAAATGTATTTTGACTAAACATTTATTATGCTCTTTATAACCTTAAAACATCTTCAAAATTTCAAAGCATTCGGTTTTGTAGTTCCTGAGTAAATCAGTAAAATAAATTTACGCTTTCATTAATTTTTTTTAATCATCCTGTATATGCAAATCCAAAAAATATGAATGGAGTGATAGATCACAAGTACAGACTGATCATATTTTGTACGTTTTAGATATGATTTATTCGGCAAACTTTCGAGCTGACGTCATCAAGTTTTTGGAGGGGATAAGCAAATATATTTTGACTAAACATTTATTATGCTCTTTATGACCTTAAAACATCTGCAAGATTTCAGAGCATTCGGTTTTGTGGTTCCTCATTAAATCAATAAAATATATTTACGCATTCATTAATTTTTTTGAATCACCCTGTATACGCAAATCCAAAAAATATGAATGGAGTGATAAATTACAAGTACAGACTCATCATATTTTTACAGTTTAGATAGGATTTATTAGGCAAACTTTCGAGCTGACGTCATCAATTTTTTGGAGGGGATAAGCAAATATATTTTGACTAAACATTTATTATGCTCTTTATAACCTTAAAACATCTGCAAGATTTCAAAGCATTCGGTTTTGTAGTTTCTGAGTAAATCAGTAAAATAAATTTACGCTTTCATTAATTTTTTTGAGTCACCCTGTATATGCAAATCCAAAAAATATGAATGGAGTGATAGATCACAAGTACAGACTCATCATATTTTGTACATTTTAGATATGATTTATTCCACAAACTTTTGAGCTGACGTCATCAAGTTTTTGGAGGGGATAAGCAAATATTATTTGACTAAAGATTTATGGTGCTCTTTATAGCCTTAAAACATTTGCAACATTTCAAAGCATTCTGGTTAGCAGATTAAAAATTAAATTTCAAAATGTTGTTTTATAATTTTGATTTTTTTTCCAAAAATCTGGACGTTTCGGGTGAAAAGTCAATTCGGAGTTGTAAACTACATGCGTAGGACTATGTTATTTTATACAATTGAAAACCCATTTACTATGTACAATTTTGAAGTGACGTCATCGCATTAGTGGTGGGGATGATTAGACAAATTTTGGTTAGCGTTTTACCATCTACATGATATTCTTAATATAAGTACAAAATTTCACAACAATCGGTCGAGTACTTTCGGAGATTATCTGTCTAATAAAAATCCGGGACGGCAGACGGACAGACGGACAGACGGACAGACGGACGGACAGACGGACAGACAGACGGACAGACAGACGGAAATGGGACACCTATTTCTTCGTCTTCTAGGGGTCATGAAAGATCGAGAAAACGTAAAAGTAGAGAGTCGGCCGACGGACTCGATTACAATACTTCCTTTGCTTACGCTCGGGAAGTAAAAATATCTAAATTCACAATCATTGAAAAGAAAATAATTTAGAATTTTTACAGAACTGAATGTGGATACTTATGACAGTCGCGCACTTTAACCTAGAACTGGTTAGTGTTGTTTCACCATAAAGTACTGCAGAGTTGTGCAACTCTGGAAAAGATCTTACTACAACACAACTTTTTTTGATATTTTTGTTCGGTTACGAATTTTTGGGAGAAGTGTTAACATTTTTTTACAGTGATATCCTGGAAGTTATAGTTTTCAAATATTAGTTTCTTCGTCATTTGAGTACACTCTGCGTCAGTTTTGACTAAAAGTGTTTTAACGCGATAGTATCTCACACTACGTCAAAGTTGTTACACAAAGTAGATAACTACTTATTATTATTATTTTTTTTAAATGGTATGAAATTTTTCATCATGTATCTTTACAAATCAATAGCTGTTTGCAGCTTATAAAACTCTAAAATTTACAAAAGAAATAGATATTATCAACTTTGTCGTAAGTTAGGTACATTAAACCCAGGTTGTATCGAAAAAACTTACGCGAAGCTTT